AGGCGAAGCTTCCTCTATTTTCACACTAAACCAAAATTACTGAAACAAAAAAACAACAACTGCCTTGTGACTAGTTTCACAGAGAAAGTCACAAATAAAGAACAGTTAGCTTAGCATGTTGATATCCTAATTATCAGACAAACCATCAAGCCGAATTATATGCATGTAAACTTACAGTACATACCAGTGCAGAGTGTCCCCTTCTACCGACCTGTGCGAAAAATCTATGCGCTGGTGAAAATGGCTTTGGATCTGTGAATACAATACGGGTACAGGCTCAGGCCATTTTAGGGTGGCACCCCGTTGAAATGCACACCCACACCACTCCAGAGGGAATGTGTGTGGGAGTTGAGCTTGGGGTAAATGTCTGGCTGCTATTGGCTTTTCCTACTTCATTCCCATATGGCAGCACAAAGCTCACAGTATGCCAATTTCTACTCCGGTGACAAGTTCCTTAACTCTCTGCCAATTACACATGCACTGTACTCCTTTTTATGTACATGCTAAGGCCGTTTTCCAATACTCAACTTCATCTTCGTCTCAGGCTTCGTCCCCGTAAGCAATCCCCAATTGTGGGCCTGACGCATTTAAATCAAATTGGATTACTGTTTTTGCTCTGTTGCATCTTATTTGATATTTTCTGGCACTATCAGACTAATTAGTGCGTTTACAGCTTCAAAGTCAGGTAGTAAAAAACAGTTGAAACCTGAGACGGAGCCAAGGTTGAGTATTGGAAAACAGCCAAAGCATCACAAAGCAGGCCTGTCACTGTGTAGTTTGACCATAAACATGGGGAGGAGGGTGCAGGGTCAGTTATGACCTACAAGTACAACTAGGCCTGCATTGTACAAGTGCATGTACATGTTCATGTATGTGGGAACATATATACATGTACGGAAGGCACAAGTGCTAGTGTCTTTTCTTTAATTGACATCTTTATGAGAAGCAAAAGAACTTTTGCCAGATGACATGTATTTTTCCCACAGACTTCCCAGGAGTCAAATTGGTCTGGCTTTACTGCACAATGTCACACAAACCGGACAACAGGCAGAAAAGGGTTACCTTTACAACTATGGTAGGGGGGGGATGGACAAGCGTCCAGAGTACATGTACATTGTACATGCTCT